TCAAGTTAACCTTTCTTACACCTGGATTCTCTTTAAATTATTTTAGTTCTTATTATTCGATATAATGTTTACCCTAACTGAGAAGTTTCGGTAAATAAAATGTTCTCATCAAAAAAAAGAAAAAAAAAAGTAAAGCAAGCTCACCATTTCATTTCTGGATTAGGTTTAAAAAGGTTTTACTTGACGTTACTTAAACTTAGGTATTTCTAGCCGTATTGAGGATGCTGAAGTCTTACAGAATCACTTGGAGCAATTGGTAAATTGGAGAAATGTTTAGCAAATGAACTTCAATTATAGTACGGTCATGCATTTCGGCTATCATAGTGTTGAATCAAACGTTTAATATAGAAGGGAATCCACTCAATAGTATGAGTGGATGATGACGTCACTAAAACTATCGAAACAATTGCTAGTAGTAAAGGTAGAACATAATTTGTATGATGTATTTAAAGATATGGTACATTATGTTACATTATAAGTCAAAAGAGGTAATTGTCCTTCTATAGAAAACACTAGTTAAGTCTCGCTTTTAATACTTTGTACAATTTTAGTGTTCTTCTCTAAGGAAAGATATTAACTTATTGGAAAGGGTTAATAAAAGAGCTACAAGTATGATTCCTGAGATGGAAGGGTTATCTTAAAGGGATATGTTAAAATAACCTTTTTCTTAGAAAATAAAGGCAAGAGATGATCTTATTGGAGTTTACAAGATTATCCGGAGGATAGTTAGGATTGGGGCCTATAATTTATTTGTGCTTTATCCTGTTAAAAACGACATAAGTTTAAGATTTGGTAAAGACAGGCTTAGGTCTAGGTAAGAATATTTTTTCTAACAGGGTAATTGACTTATAGAATGAGTAGCCCTTGAGTTGAAGAGGGAAATCGATAATTTCCTAGAAAACAAAGGGTAGGTTGAAATTTTTACTTTTTTAAGTTTTGGGTGCACAAGGACCAAATGGTACCTTGTTGTTCATACGTTATGTTACGATTTCAGTTTGAAGATTCTCAGTATAAAAACTGTTTACCCTGATTTATAGGAAATTGGTTCAGAAAGTCATCATAACAACGAGAAAATTCACTGTAGCATAGACCATAGTTAAATACAAAGTATTTTAAATGATTAGGTGCCAGTCGGTATCACACAGTCAATATAAACATCTTTGGAGAAGAAATGCTCACCGAGTTCAATAAAAATACGTAGGCCATTCATGATTGGATCGGTCCTAATAAGATTTTCCTTGTTCTTCAGTACCGTCCATTAAGAAAGTTTAATTCAAACATTTCAATTGCTTTTTTACTTTTGATTAACTCAGCTTACGTTATTTCATTATAAAATTAGAATTAATTAACATAAAAATTCGTCATCACTAGAGACATATATTTGCATTACCTTTTATTCATTTATTTTTGTAGCGATCTTAACTGTCTTCTTTACACCATAAAACTTGGAGAGAATGCTGAAAAGCTCATAATTTGAATATGGCTGGACTTGTTCCAGTAGTTGCATTTCGGGCTGTGTATCGAAAGGCCCAAGGTTTGAGCCATATTATGGATATGCTGCTAATTGTGTTTCTCACTTTCGACTGTGTGGCATTATAACTGTGGCAGTCAATCCCGCCATGCGACTAAGAGTAGCCGCGTGGGCGGTAGGTGCTGCTAACTAATTGCCCTCCCGCTGTTCATCAATTCTAAGTTTAACGGCGGCTATGTTGGAACCTTAAAGATCTCTTAACCTGGCTTCTTGGCTTATATGTCGCATAAGGTGCTGTTCAGATTGAAAATACCCAAACTATTGTCTAAATACGAACTGTCAACGGACGAAACGTTATAAAACGTTTATATCACACCGTCAAAATATATTAAACTAGAGGGGCACTCAGTAGAGCGCATACCTCCGCCACGCAGCGTTGATCATATTCGGCTCTCAATAAATACGAAAATATATTTGTATATCCGTCATTATCAACGGACATGACCATTTTTGCCAGCACAATGAGGAATAATATTCTACATATGTCCACCGAGTTTCGTCAAAAATCTGATCACTTTTGACTGAGTTATAGAGCAAAAATAGTGTGAAAAATCGGTCCCCATGTTAACAGATAGGGATTTTTTGGATTTTCATTACCTTGCTGTGACCTTGACCCTCCAAAAACCAATCACTTTTAAATTGGGTCATAGTTCCAAATGTATACCAACTTTCGTCCAAGTCCATTCAGCCGTTTTCGAGAAATCTTGCTGACAAACACACACACACACACACATACAGATGTGAAAACATAACCTCCGCCACTGAAGGCGGCGGAGGTAAAAATAACAATAACATTGTAAATGACGAAACGATTTAAAGTGTTTATAAAATCCAACGTTGGATCTATCAGAGACTTCTTCCAAAACAACTAGGTTGGCTTTGAACAATAAAGATATCAAAGATATTTAAAGTTACACCTGTGTTGTCTATGAACAGTGAAGATGCTTGAAATCAGGGACGGTCTTTACTGGATGGGGTGAGGGGGCAGGTAGTTAGTACTTTGTAGCCCCTTGATGACTGCTGTGGGGTCAAATGTCTCCCACTGACCCCCGCTAGCGCCGTCCCTATTTGAAACCTTTAAAGTTTTATTTATTTAAGCCAATAGAACTATTAGACTGCACACAACTGTAAGTTAGATAAGCAATATTATTTAAAAACATGTTATACTCGTAAAACCTAAAGAACACAGCTTACCTTATGTCTCTGAGATTAAACAGAGGCTGGTAGCTCTTAGAACAAAATATATAAGATTTTGCACCTAGTAAGCCTTTATTCTAATTGCTGCTATATCAACATCAGCAAGTTTCCGCTACGTTACAGGTGTTAAAATCCTGATGTAGAAACTCTAGTTACCCTTACTCTCCAACCAGTCAAATAAGCCACGGTATTGAGCGAAAGGCTTCGTCAGCATTGGATAAGGCAGATGTGATGTGGTTGTCATATTATAACACATTTTACTTTACTTTCACTTCTAAGATCTTAAAATCCCAGTTGCTGCGGCAAATCAGATTTGACGCATAGAGCAGTTAGATTACAAATTAAAACTGATTCGAATCAGAAATATTTAGTTTACTAGCAGGTAAGATGAACTATACAACACCACTTACCTTGCCATAACGAGGTCTGTTGGGAACTGAAGCAAGCATTTCTCAGGTGTGACAAGAAACCACGCGCCGTGAGCCAGACACGACGTTGATCAATACAGCCGTCTGCGGCCACGCGTATGTCTGGGATAGACGCGCCTACTATTATCGCGGGGGTGTAATGGTTGTGAGTCAGCGTATGAGCTAATAAGAGGTGAGTTATTTCTTAAAAACAACAACAAAAAACATTTTTACAAGGAAGAAATTGCTAGGTTCCAGGATGTTCCTTCTTTTCCGTGTTTTTCTTTTGTTCTAGCTGTAGAATGTCAAATGAAAAGTCAACAGGTGTGTTGCTTGTTTTAAGCACAACTTATATGCTAAGATACAAGAAACAGGTCTAAAGATTGAAGGAAATACACGGTTTTCGTTTAGACCCACTAAATTTAAACTGTACCCTTTAGGTCTGAGGATTATCTTAGCGCCTGCTTCGAAAGATAGAGAGTCAAATTTAGATTAGTATAAAACCGAATTTAATCTAACTAGGCAATCTTTTCAGTGTTTATACTATTAACTAGCTTGAACTTTACCTCTTACATTATATCATGTATCATAAACATTTCCCACAAGCTTTTTTTAGTAATTTTCCTTTTTAGTACTTTATCTTACGTCAGCATTATCGGGCTTGAGTAATCACATCCTATTTCATAACTTGTAATGTCTTTGTCACCCGTAACTGGCTGTCTGCAAAGCTTCCTCCCGCGCATAAACAGAGCTTACGTCAAGAAATTCTTTGTACGTTACGAACTATGCCCTTCATCATGATATAAGTACAGGATGATTAGAAAGTAAATCTCCTCATTTAAAGTGATGGTATCTTTAAAATACGAATTGTTTTAAGTGAGCTAATTCTCAACAAAAACGCACTGAGAGTTATAAGGTTCATTCACTTCAGTTTGGTACAGGGTGTTTCAAAAACTGTTACCGAAGTCGCTCAGTATCCTTTTTTCCTTTTCAATCAGCATACCAAAAATTCCAAAATTAAGCAACTGTAAGTATTGTCTGTTTGGGAAACTGTTCACTGATCCTTATAATATCTGCATATCACCAATCTCGGATGATTCAAAAAAGAATAAAAACAGTTTGAAAGTCGATTTATAGATATATATAGTAAAACACGAACCTCGTAGAAACTTCTCTGAAGAAAACTTATAATTCTCAGTATGACTGGTGAAATTGATTTCCACTGGAACAATGTTTAAGATGTAGTCGTTTTAAATATGGAAGTTTATTTATAACTACTCTGTACATGCACAGTGGTGAATAAGGAACATCAACATCTAAATTCTGCCACGGCTACTGTTACATTAAACAGTAAACCATATTACTTAAATTCCAGTAGTAACAAAAAGAGCGTTGGCTGCTCAAATAGACAGCTCTCGTATCAGATTTGTGGACCTAATCACACTAGCTTTCTCTGCTTTTTTTTCACCTCAAAACCCAGTCGACAGAACAATTAAATCGACGCTTTTTTCTCACTTAAAAAATCCCTGACAAAATGGAACTAAAAATACACACAAGTTTAACGGTTTCAAAGCGTTCCTTCAATTTATCGAATAACACAGGCCTGCGAATTTAATCTTCATAAAATCTGTTTTGGTTTTAATAACTGAGGTTAAGTAAGGAATTTTTACAAATCGGGAAGAAAAAACTTACTTAGATCAAATTATTATTTCGTTTACCACAATGAACATTTCTAATTATAATGTTTGTTAACAAAAATACAAACAAGCTGAAAAAAAGGGAAGAACATTGATGTCAAAATAATATGCATCCTCATTCATCCTGATTTTTATGTGTGTGAAATATACATCTTTTAGTCTAAAAACTACGTGTTGTGGTCTTTCTTTTATGTATTGCGCCTGGAACATCTCGTTTCAATGACCAGCAGTAATCAGCTATTATGTTGATGTTCCACCTTCCCTGATACATCCTTTACATTTCCATGATGTCTTGATGAAACCTTTTCCCTTGTTATTTGCTGACAGCACCGATATTTTCCGGGAACTAGTCACTATGTGAGTGTAAGAAATGAACTTCCAAGCTCATATTACAACCCAACTTTTAGAATTTATCGAGGATGTTATTGACAATATTTTCGTAATTTGGGTCCTTGTTGTTTCCTAAACAATTTTCAATAACATCTTTAAAGTCAACCCACGCTTCTTTCCTCATTGTCCTTTCGAACTGTTCATCCGAAGTCAATTTCTTAATCTGATGCCCAACAAAAATTATTTTTCTTCTTTCTTCGGAAAGAGCTGGGAATTGTCTACATAGATACTTAAAACAGTCGCCATCTTTGTCTAAGGCCTTTACAAACTGCTTCATCAAGCTCAGCTTTATGTGAAGTGAAGGTAATATGACTTTCTTTGTGTCAACCAAACTTTCACGTTCAATGTTTTTCGATCCTGGTATCAGGCTGACTCTGTGTGGCCATTGCTTCTTAATCCAGTGCTAATTTCATGCTCTGCTGTCCCATTCACACAAAAAACACGGAAACTTTGTATAACCGGATTGTTGACCCAACAACCTACAAAGGACTTTTAAATTTCCACAAAGTAGCCAACAATGTTCTTTCTATTTAAATTTATTATGAAATTCGAAATCTCCCTACGTTTCCTTCAAGTGAACCGAATGAGCAATAGGTACAGATGCATATATGTTTCCATTGTGAAGGAGAACACCTTTTAGACTTATTTTGGAGGAATCAATGAACAATCGCCTCTCACTTGGTTCATAGACTACAGCTCCTAGCATTGGTATTAATTCAGCAATATTGTTGTAATAAACCAGTGAACCTTCTTGCGAAAAGTATGGTATAAACTATTTATCATGATTTCTATATCAGTAAAATGTTGTCCCTGGAGAAAGTAAGTTCTTAGCCTGAAGTCTGGACCCAAAAATCTCCGAAAAACCTCTGAAAGACCCAAATCACTCACCAAATCATTAAGTTCATTCACTTTATGTGAAAAGTTATGGTTCACTAGACATTTCAGGTTGAAAACAATCCCTATCATCATTTCTACTGACATCAGATTCAGAATCAGATGAAACTGTATCAATAGTCTCCGGTGGAGTAGGTACAGGTACATCAGGTCCATGAGCAACAGGTCTTATAGCAGGATGAAGGTTCGGATAAGACATTTTCTTTTTACTTCGGGTGTTGTAGCCTTGCACGTTACATGAGCAAAAATAGCATTCAACTCCGTGGTTTCTAGGCTCACATCAGACCACTGAAATTCCAAAAGGCCTAGACTTTTTCTTACCTTTAGTCTATTGTCTCAACTCTTCGACACAAGTGGTGCAAACTTTGTACGGAGCCCATGATTTGTCTTGATCCTCAAGTTTTATTCCAAAATACGCGTAATACGCTTTTTTTGACGAATTCTGTAATGTTTTTCCTTTGTTTCTTTACAACAGATTTACCACAGATATAACAGAATATGTTTGGGTCATTTACACAACCTCTTGTTGCTATAGTGACGAATAAATAAAAGAAAAATGAAAAAACTAATGTCAAAGTGCACACACAAACAAATACAACCCAGAAATGACACGTCATGCGGCCTGGTAACCATTTATATACTAGCAATGTGTTTCTCGTGGGTTCTAGAACGATTGATAAGACTCGCACGTCGCGTTTGGTTTAATGGTTGTCAACATTTTAAACGTAACAAAATGTGGCCCGAATTCAATGAAAATGATTCACTTATGTAAAAGTACACACGACGTTCTGTGAAAAATCTGTACGTGATGGAGAAAAATGGATATCATTTTCGGACTCAGCGTACATGAATTATTGCAGAACATGTAAAAATGTCAAGACAATAAAACCATCGCAAGCCTGTGTAATTAGTCTAAATCATAAGAGTACTAGCAGATGCGTATTGAAACAATTCAACAGTTCAATCTCTCTCTCTCCACTCTATCTCAGCAGAAATATACATTTGCTAGTATCGGCAAAAATACCAATGTACGGCCCTCTCCATAATCTCCAGAGTTGCCGCATGCTCTAACATACTAAAATCACTTTTGTAGGTTTGAAAGGCTATCTTTCGTGTTTCTTTCTTTTTGAAGTTAATTTGATAGTATTACTTTTCTCTATTATACATAAATACAATGCGCCACGAATAACTCGGCCGTGATATGGCCGCGCTTTTTTTATATTACTAATTTAACAACTTACTACTTTTTACGCTTTCTATTGTAGTTGTGTAGTCTTTTTTTTTACACTGTTGCTAGTACTATACATTGGTTTCTGTAGTTCTTTTTTTGACATTATTGTTACCCGGCATGGCCAGGTGGTTAGGGCGCTCGACTCGCAATCTGAGGGTCGCGGGTTCGAATCCCCGTCACATCAAACATGCTCCCCCTTTCAGCCGTGGGGGCGTTATAATGTGACGGTCAATCCCACTATTCGTTGGTAAAAGAGTAGCCCAAGAGTTGG